CATCCATCCATCCATCCATCCATCCATCCATCCATCCATCCAATCCCATCTCCCATCCCAAACCTCCCCCACCCACCCAAACTGCCCCCCAACCTTTCCATCCCTTTTTCTCTCTCTGTCCATTCCTCAGTCCTGCAGGGTCCCACAGGGCCCACCAGACCTTTGAGGGTCCCCTGACAATGGGGGGGATGGGGGAGATTGGACCGGCCCCCCAAGGGGTGTCGGGTGCGTCACCCAGGGCTTGGCACGGTGGGAACACACCGAGACAGGGACCCCCCCGAAATGCCATCACCGACGGTCACCGCTCCCGCCCCACAGTGACAAAAGTTTGAGCCCTGGGTGTGGTGCCAAAGCTTTCCCGCGGCTTTGGCAAATCCGAGTTTTCCCGGCACAAACGGGAGCTGCAGCCCCCCCACCTACATGGTTCCCCCCCCCCCCCCCCCGCCCCGTTTGCCTTGGGGCGGGAGGTGTGAAGGAGCCCGAGCCGGGCTGTAAACACGGAGGCCACTTCAAAGGGGACGCCCGGCGACATCCTTAGCACCACCAGATTATTTCGGCACCCCCGGGCGGGATGCGAGGCGGGGGAGGTTGGAGGGGATGAACATCCCGTTTGGCAACTTGGAAAAGCGGGGAGGGGGAGGGGAGCAGCTGTCGGGGGAGTGGGGAGCTGTCCCCCTGTCCCCATCCTTGTCTCCTGTCCCTGGTGCATCCATCCTCCCCAAAGCCCACTTCTACTCCCTGTGCAGAATAATCTGTTTTCCCAGTATCACATTCCTGCCACCACGGTTTGGGGACCCATGGACGTGCCCCCCGGGAACTGCAGCATCCTCAGGGCATCACATTATGGGGTTTGAGGGTCCCCAGGCTCCCTGAGGATCACACCCAGCCCCCACTCCCCAGCCATCCTTCCCAAGGATGCTCCCCATCCCCCCGTGCCCCCTGTCCCTCCTCTATCTTCCCTCCTCATCTTCCCCAGGCACTCTCAGGAAGGCAACACCTTCCTTATCTTCTTCCGACGGGTGGTCCGGCCCTGCTGCCCCCACCCCCAGCCCCGGCCTTGTTATTTTCTGGAGCGTCCCTGCATATCTCCCCAGAGACTCCTCAGCTAAACATTTCCCTCCTGGAAGGGAAAGGGAAATCTCCAAGACGCGGATAGAAAGTCTGCAGCTCCGTCTCCGCTGGCCGGGCGCCTGCGGCCGTTTCCGCGCCCGGCGGCTGAGCCGGACGAGGGGGAAGCAGCAAAGCCGACACCCCCATAGTGTTGGGGTATTTAGGGGTGGTGGAGGGATGGAGGGAGAGAGGGAGAGATGGAGAGAGGGAGGGAAAGGAGAATGGTGGGATGGAGGGATGGGCAAAGGGAGGGAGAGAAGGGAAAAATCATAGAATCATTAAGGTTGGAAGAGACCTTTAAGATCAAGTCCAACCATCAACCCAGCACTGCCCCTGTAACCCCAAAACCGTTAGCCCGTGGGTGGATGGATGGATGGATGGATGGATGGATGGATGGATGGATGGATGGATGAGACTGTTGGACTGATGGATGGACAGCTGGATTGACAGATGGATGAGAGTTATCCAGGGGTCTCTCCAGGCTGAGGGAGCCTGGATGGCACTGGAATGTAAACACAATTTGGGACGTGTCCCTGGATGCAACATTCCCATTCCTCAAGCTCCTCCAGCCCTTAGACCAAATCAGATCCATCTGGAAACTCCCCAAAACCCTCAAGGAGGCTCTCACCCCTCCAGGTGGGGGATTGTGCAGTCCCCAGCCCCCTGGCCGCCCCCTCCATTCCCTTTCTCTGGACAAAGGACTGTCCCCACACAGGGAGACCTCGGGCAGTGGCCCCCAAACACGGTGGGGCCGGCAGGAAGGCGGAGGCAGCTCCCCCGACGGGAAGCATCCCAAGGAACCCAGTAATGATCCCGCATCCTTTCCAAGAGAGAACAAAGGCTGAGGAGACAGGATAGTTCATCACCGATAAATGAAGGATGTAAATAGCAAATAGGGGGAAGATTTATTTCGAGCAGAGCCTCAGGAAGCAGCGGGGGCTGGGGTGGGGGGGAAATGGGACAGGAGCCATTTGGTGGCTCATCCAAATCCTAGTTGGGGTGAGCCGGGGTCCTGCCCAGTGCCCAAAGCCCCCATCAGCATCCAGAGGGTCCTGTGTCCCTCTTCATACCCAGAGGGTCCCTTGTCCCCATCCGCACCCGGGGGGTCCCATGTCCCCATCCCTCAGGTTTGGGTGTTTCACAGCACCAGGTCCTGTTTTCACGCCCAGGTGAGTCACGCGGGGCTCATCCCAGCCTCAGATAAGGATAAAAGCCCCAAAATGGGATTTGGTGGGACAGTGCTGCTGCCTGATACAATCACAGCTGGGGGGCTGGGGCAGGCAGGTGCCCACCCCACGGGGTCAAACACCCCCATCCCGGTGCTGCAGTGCTCCGAAGGGTTGGGATGGAGGTTTTCCTGCACTTCCCAAAGTGTTGCTGAGGAAGAGTCCAGGAGAATCTGTCCCAGGCCGAGACCCCCCAATAGTGCACACAAACACCCCCCCACACACTGCACCCTCCCTCACAGATGCCCTAAAACCCAGCCGTACCCCCACCCCCCCATTCTCCCTCCCACCACATCCCCCCGGCCCCCGAGGGAACTGAGCACAGCCTGCTCTTTTTTTAAACAAAATTCATTTATTTGTAATAAAACACAAAGCCCTGGGGATGCCGGGGAAGCCGCCCCTGCCTGAGCCCCCCAGGGGCTCCTCCCCGGCTGTGCCTCAGTTTCCCCTTCCCGCGAGCAGGGCTTTCCAGCGGCGGATCCCCAAAGCAAGCCAGGCTTTGGGGCGAGGCGGATGTGTGGGGGGGGTGTCCCCCCGAGTAGACCAGCTCGGGGGGCGCCGGGGGCGGTCCGGGAGGGGCTCAGGCACGGAAGACCGTCTCCTGGGTGGCGGGGTCCAGCTTGCCCCCCGGGCCGGGGCCCCCCTTGCCACCGGGGGGGTGGCTGTGCCCCGAGGAGTAGCTGGCGGAGCGCTCGGGGCCGGGGCCGGGGGTCCGGCAGCAGAGGAGGGCAGCGCAGGCGTGGCGGAAGCGGGGGTCGAAGAAGGCGTATAGGAAGGGGTTGAGGCAGCTGTTGATGTAGGCGATGCCGGTGCAGTAGGGATGGAGGTTGTTGAGGAAGGTGTGGAGGGCGCAGGACCAGGGCAGCACCTCCAGGTCCATCAGCACGTACAGGGTCTTGACCAGGTGGAAGGGCAGCCAGCAGCCCCCGAAGGCGGCCACCAGCACCGTGATGATGGTGAGGAGGCGCTTGCGCTTGCGGGGCCCCTCGGCCCGCTCCCGGCGGAAATGAGTGGCCACGGTGCGGGCGATGAAGAAGTAGCAGGTCAGCATCACGGCGAAGGGAGCCACGAAGCCCAGGGCGGTGGAGGAGAGCCCCAGCCCCACCTCCCAGGCGCCCTCAGTCCCCTGCGCCGCCAAGTCCCCGTAGTCCATGTAGCAGGTGATCTTGCTGTCCCCGCCGAGGGCGGCCGCCCGCCGCAGCACCAGGGCGGGCAGGGCCAGCAGGGCCGCCAGCAGCCACAGGGCCACGGTGGCCACCAGCCCGCTGACCCTCGAGCGCAGCTTGGCGGTGGCCAGCGGCCGGACGATGGCCAGGTAGCGGTCGAAGCTGAGGCCGGTCAGGCAGAAGACGCTGGCGTACATGTTGACGAACACCAGGTAGCTGCTGACCTTGCAGGCGGCCGTGCCGAAGGGCCAGTGGTAGCCCAGCCAGGCGTAGGCGGCCCAGAGGGGCAGGGTGACCACGAAGGTGAGGTCGGCCACGGCCAGGTTGGCGATGAAGGTGTCGGCCGAGCGCCGGCGGTCGCGGCCGCCCTTGAAGACGGTCCAGAGCACCAGCCCGTTGCCGGTGGTGCCCAGCAGGAAGACCAGCAGGTAGATGGTGGGAAGCAGAGCCAGCGAGGGGCCCCACTCCGTGTACTCGCAGTCCGTATCGTTGTCGAAGCCGTAGGTGTAGGCGTCCGTCGCCTCCTCCATCCCGGCGCTGGGCTCCGCTCCGCTCAGCTCATCCCGGGCTCACCCGCTCCTCCGGCCCCTGAGCCGCCCGCGAATCCCACCGCGTTACCTCCCCTTCCTCCTCCTCCTCCTCCTCCTCCTCCTCCCAGCCCTCCTCCCGGAGGGGACGGACAGGACCGGGCAGGAGGCAGGGCCGGGGGGCGCCCCCGTGGGAAACTTCACAGCTCCCCCCACCTCCATCTGGCTCCTGCCCGGGGGGTTTTACCGAGCTCTCACCCGCCTGTCAACCCCCGAGATAACCCCGGCCCCGCCACGCCCGGGGGGTTTGGTCGCCCACCACGGTGGAGTGCGGTGCTGGGGTCAGGGCGGCAGCGCTGGGGAGCTCGGGAACGGGGGGGCTCCAGGCAGCATTTGGGGTTTCACCTCAGGGCGCCGCATTCAGCGCCGGGGTGTCACACATCGGGGCTGCATTTCGCATGGGCAGTGTCACATCGGGCACTTGGCAGCGGAGGGGGAGCGGGGGGGTCGCAGTGGGGGGGTGGTGTCGCAATGGGGGGGTCGCACTGGTGGTGGGGGAGGGTGTGCATTTGGCATTTGGCACTTGAGATTCTCCGTTTTGCTCCCAGCTTTACCTCACTGTGCACACAGTGGTGACTCCGTGGGGTCCCCCAGCACCGGGGCCCCGCTTTGAGCGCAACATGCCGAGGAGATTTATACATTTAACAAAAATCCTGGATGTGGAAGGTGGTTCTGGGACCCCCCACGATGTAAAAAGACCATTTTAGGGCAGCAGCTGTGGCAGGACCGGCTGCCACCGGAGCCTCTCGGTGTATCCCAGCTCCGCGGGTTGCTCATGGAGCCGGACGCGGCAGCTCTGAGCCAAGAAAGAACAAACTTCCCCCCACCCCACAAATAAATATTGGGGGGAGGGGGAGGGAAGCCCCCCCGCGGTGGTGGGGCTGTGGTCTGGGGTCGTGCCATTGGGACTGAACTCTCACAATTCCAGCTCTGGGGAAAAGAACCAAAGAAGCCGAGCGGGACTTTGCAGAGTGAGATCTGAAGAGCCCCAAGTCCCCCGGGACATGCAGCGGGGTCCGGGCTGGGGCTGAAGGGGGGACTCAGCACGGGACAGGCTGTGGGAAGGGGCAGGTTTAAGTGCAGCAACAGAGACTGGAGGGGGGCACAGAGCCCCCCGGGACCCTCCGCCAGCTCAGTGGGGCCCTTTTACCAGCAAAGAGGCGTAAAGGAGGGGTTGTGTGGGGAATTCAGTGGCTGAAATAGGGGGCGAGAGCTCACAGGGGTCTCCAAAATGAGACAGAGTGGTGTAGTGCTTAAAGGGTCTGGTCAATGGCGGTGCAGATTAGGGGGCCTCAGAGGTGGGGGCACAGCAGCACCGAACCAGACACCCAGAGCTTCAGTGTCAGCCAGGAGAACAAACCAGGGCTTAATCAGGCTGGAGATAAGGAATGATCCCGTATCTCGGTGCCGGGACAGCCGGCTTGTGGGGAGAGAGGTATTAAACCCCAAAACTGCTCCAACTGGTGGCAGAACTGCGAGAGTGCCCAGCTCCGGTTCAAATCCCAAGTTGGAATGACGAAGGGCCGGAACCCCCCCAGTGCCCAGCGCAGACACTCGAGCCTTTCTGCTAATTAACAGCTTTAACGGGGAAACACCAGTACTGCTAATGAGCCCCCCGGGATCGCGGCGAGGCTCCCCGGGCTGCTCTCGCCCTGTCCAGAGGCCCTCTAATGAGCAGGACTGCTAATGAGCAGTTCTATTAATGGCTATTAATAACAATGCCAGCTATCTCTGTCCTAATTGGAACATAGCACAAGTATCCCTTTCCAGACACCACACATGAATCCGTTTCCAGTCTCTTCCCTTTCCAAAAACTGCGGGTTGAGTGTCCCAGTCACCCCCTCCCTGTCCTGGAAGCTGGGGTGGTCGGCCTCAGTGCCACCCGGCGGGTCCCATTGGTCTCAGCGCTGGGGAAGGAACCCCCCAGGCTGGGTTTGTGGTGGCCACGGGTGGTGGGTGGGTGGCCAAGGCTGACTGATAAGGAATCCGTGGGGCTGATAAGGAGCCCCGCTATCTGCAGTGGGGGGAGGGCAGGAGCCGCTCCCCCTGCGGGGCGGGGGCTGCCCTGGGCACCAGCGAGGGGCTCTGGGACCCTCGTTCGTCATTCCTGGGACTTGGCACCAGCAGCTCCCTTTGGGAATCAGCCAGGCCTCACAGCATCCCCACTGGCTCTGCAGGGGGATTGGAGTGGGAGCCCCCACGGGATGGGATGAGGAGCCAGACCCCCACTCCGAGCAGGAAGGGCAGCGCTTGACCCTGAACGAGGAGGGATCCGGAGGCTTCCTCTGAATCCAGCAGTTACTCACATCCGACCGAGGAAGTGACAGCCCTAGGGCACAACTCCTGTGTCTCTGTGCCCTCTTCCACGGGCAGCGCTGTGGGCACAGCGCTCCTCCTGTCGGCAGCTCCTCCTGCAGTGTCCCCCTTCCCAGGGACAGCACCCCTGTCCCTCTGCTCCCGCACCCCAACTCTGCCCGTCAGCCTCCCCAAGACCGCCCTGCGGCCCCCCCAAGGCTGGACACGAGTGGGTGCTGCGAGCCACGGGTTTATTGGGAGTGGAGGGGAGCGCAGCCCCTCGGCGTCGGGTGGTGAGCACAGGGAGGTGCTGGGGGGGCACCCTGGGGGCAAGGGACAGGACTGGGGCACCCCGTGTGGGCACTGGGGACACTGGGATGTACTGGGACAACTCGGGGTGGGCGCTGCGGACGGTCAGATGCCGATGGGGCTCACAGGGGGAACACTGAAGACTGGTCCCGGTGAGTCCCTCACCAGGCAGGGCTGCCCCACAGTGGGGGGGACAGGCGGGGGGCTGTCCCATGGCCCCCGGGGCTAGAGGCTGAGGGAGAAGGTGCCCGAGTCGGTGGATTGCTTGTCCCGGGAGCAGGCCCCCAGTGCTCCGGGGGGACATGCCGTGGGGCTGGCAGGGGTGGCGGGCACGCCAGCCTCTGACACCTGTGGGGCAGGGGACAGGCACTGGGTAAGTCGCTGCACCCAGTCAATCGAGCCCCTCGGAGGTGTCCCCATCCCTCGGAATCCCAGTACCCCATGTCTGACCTCCTCGAACTTGCGGGCCTTGTAGTGCTCAGCGCCCTTGAGGAAGTTGAGCAGGATGATGTCGCACAGCACCGTGCCCTGGGGGCGGCAGCATTGGGGTGAGGGGCCCCGCGCTGCGGAGCACCCTCAGGCCCCCATGGAGCCAGGTCGCTGTCACCCTGCAGCTGTGCCATGTTCCCATGCCCCATGGACATGGGACTGCCCCTTCTGCCCTGGGAGGTGTCCCCACTCTGGGGCTGAGAACACCCACAACTCACCACACCAATGGAGGTGAAAGCAGCCACCGTGTTGATGAGGGTGGGGACGATGCCAAACTTCCCAGCCTGGGGGTGCAGAGCCCTTGTTGGCCGGAGACCCCGACCCCCCTGCGACCCCCCGAGTCCCCGGCCCCACACGTACGCTGCCGTACACCAGGACATCAAAGCGGATCCCAAAGGCCTTGATGAGGGTGCGGCGCTCGGAGCCGTCGGGCCAGCGGTAATATCTGGCGTGCCTGCGGGGACACGGGGACATGGGGATGTGGGGACATGGGGACAGGAGCCATGCCAGGCAGTGCACACCCCTGTTCCATGTGTGCCCTGGCCATACCTGAAGTTGTATCCAGGGGCAGGGGTCCGGGCCAGGCTGTCCAGGCGGGTGAAGGAGTAGCGGGGCAGGCAGTGCTCCCAGGCCTGGTCCAGGTCACACACCCACCCGATCTTGATCCCCAGCACCCCCCCCTGCCCCAGCCCTGCATCAGCACCACGGACCCTGGCCCCATGGCACCAGGTCCGCAGTTTCACAGTCCTGCATCCCATGGCTCCGTGTCCCATGAACCCACATCCCACAGTCTCATCTCCCTAAGCTCCACATCCCCCTGCACCCCATGTCTCAAATCTCCATGTCTGTACATCCCATGTCCCACATCCCAAACCCCATGCACCCACATCCATGTCCCTGTGTCAAGCCCCACATCCTCATTCTGTGTCCTGTGCTCCTGTATCCTATGTCTTGTTCCCAACATCCCTCACCCCTGCATCCCCCCACGTTATACAAACCCATGTCCCCATTGTCCATGTCCTCACGCCACCACCCCAAATCCCCCCATCACCATCCCATGTCCCTTGTCCCCATGTCCACATCCCGTGTCTTTGTCCCCAAGTCCCATGTCCCCATGCCCTTACATCCCACCTGTTTGTACCCCTGTGTCCCCACACCCATCCCATTCTCCCCCCCTCCCGTGTCCCTTGTGTCCTCGCTCACGGTGGCAGCCAGCACAGGGAAGTCCTGCCCAGCCAGACGTGCCACATCCCCCAGGCGCAGGATGGGGCACAGGGGCTGCAGCTGTGGGTGGAAGCGACACCGGCCCAGCTCCACCCCACTGCCAGGGGGTGGCAGGTTGGTCCTGGGGACACAGGGGGATGCGGAGGACATGGAGGGATGTGCTATCAGGCAGCAGTCTGGGATTCATGGACCCCCATCCCAGTGTCCTCCCACCATCCTGTGCCTGTGTCCCCCTGTCCCTGTGTTACCCCATCCCCCTGTCCTCGTGTCCCCCTGTGTCCCCCCGTGTCTTGTGCCACTCACTTCTCAAAGCCAAAGAGTGGGAAGCGGATGCTGTTCTTGATGAGGAGGGTGAAGTTCTCAGCTTCCAGCATGACGGGGCTAGAATAAAGGGGGTGACACTGGGGACACGGCAGGGGGCATGTCCCCTGCTCCTCCCTCTGTCCCCCTGACCCCACTTACACGTCAACGGTGTCCACCTCGGACGGGCACCAGCCCTGGATCTCACAGGTGTGCAGGGTCGCGTTGTAGGGGACGCAGCGCCCTGTCAGCATCCCTGGGACCCCTAACCCCTGTCAGCACACCTGGAACCTCGGAGCCCTGAACTCTGTCAGCACCCCTGGGACCCCTGTACTCCCGTCAGTACCCCCGGGGGCACCCCTGAGAGCCCAGATTCCCGTCATCACTCCTGGGACCCCCGGACTGTCATCGGCACCCTTGGGACCCTGATCCCCAGCTCCCCCCAGACCTCCAGCTACCGCATCAGAACCCCGGGACCCCCAGTTCCCTGAGCCCACCAAGGGTCCCTCACTCCTGCCCGTGGTGGCTCCGCCCGGTCCCTCCAGCCCCCCCAGCCCCCGTTCCCACCGGGGTCCCCTCACCGTTGCTCGTGCCCGGGCTCATCTCCCGGCAATCCCGGTCCGCCGAGCAGTGGAACGCGGCTTCGCTCTGCGGGGCGGGGGTCAGCGGACGGGGGGCTCATCGAGGGGTCCCCCCGAGCGCCCCCTGCCCCCCCGCACCTCCGGGCACACGCCCTGCGCCTGGTCCTCGGTCCGGATCTGCTTGGTGACCACCACGAACACCGAGGTGCCCTGAGGGACGTCGCTGTCACACGACCCGTCCGGGGGGGTGGCCCCGCGCCCCTCAGCGACCCCTCCGGTCCCCGGTCCTCACCTGGGGGGGCGTGATGTAGTCGGCCGTATCCATCACCTGCCCCGCGTAGCGCCCCACGCCCTTCACCTTGGTGACCACGGAGGACTCGATGGCGGTGTCCCGCACCTGGTACGCTTTCTCATGGAGGAACACCCAGCTGGGACAGCACCGCGGGTGACGCTGGGGACAGCCACCCCCGGACACCACCGGCACCTCCCGGCACCCCCGGAGCTGCCCGGAGCTGTCAGCACCAGCGGCTGCCCGTCCCCGACAGCCGCTTGACATCCCTCCGCCGGTGGCTGCCGTCACCCCCCGGGAGCAGTCGGGCACAGGGACCCCCTTCTGTCATCCCCTGGGGCCGAGCGGCTTCTCGGGTGTCACCCGCACTGTCCCCTTCCCGTCATCCATCCGAGATGCCCTCCTGGCTGTCCCCCTTGTGTCACCCTTCACGACACCTTGCTGTCCCCATCATGTCACCTGCGCTGCCACCCTCCTGTCAACTGCATCGGCACGCTCTCCGGCTGTCCCCTTTGTGTCAAATGCACCGACATCCTCTGTCCCGCCTTGTCAAGCGGCACAGTCTCCTGGCTATCCCCATCGTGTCACCTGCTCCGGAACACCTGAATTCCCAGCACTGACACATTTTGTCACCTGCTCTCCCGTTCCTCCTCTGCTCCGTCACCCCCTACTCCTGGCCTGGCCACCCCCTCACCCCACACCGCCGCCCGGGTGTCCCCTCGCTGTGACCCCGCTGCCACACGCCGTCATCCTCCATCACCCTTGTCACCCCCCGGTGTCACCTCCAGCAGCAAGTGGGAGTCACCGCGCTGCCGCGGTGCCGGGAAGAGGGTTCGGCGGTGTCCCGAGGGATGTCCCGGGCCAGGGTGTCCCAGAGGTGCCCGGGTGTTGTCCCGGCGGCTGCCAGGGGGGCTCACCCGACGAAATAGGCGAGGATGAGGAGCTGGACGCCGCGGTTGACGACTCCCACCACCCAGCTCTTCACCACCACCGACTTGGTGGTCTCGTAGGAGAAGAAGTCGCTCACCCAGCGGGTGCGGGAGCGCAGGAGGGACATGGGCAGCGCGGGAGGCGGCCGGCGACGGGGTTACGGGCAGGGCTGCGGGCAGGGCAGTGGCAGGCAGGGCTGCGGGAACGGAGGGCGATGCGGGAAGGGCAGGGCAGAGATGCGGGCAGTGAGCGGGGATGCGGGCAGGGCAGGGCGCGGGCGCGGGTACCGGCAGGGGTACCGGAGGGGCACGGGCAGGGTGAGGGTACCGGCAGGGTGTGGGCAGCACCCGCAGGGGTGCGGGCAGCGAGGGCGGTGCGGGCGGGCGGGCGGAGGCGGGGGGAGGGGGGGGGCCGGGGGCGGGGGCACGGGCCGGGGGGACGGGGGGGGGCGCCCCCCCTTT